ATCTATATGTCGCCACGTGTTCCGTGGCTTTACCTGTTGCCTCTACATGATGCTCCCTGGACGGCAGCTGGTGTCTCCCCTCCCTGTCTTCCTGTCCTTTCTTTTTCTCCTGTTAGTCCCGCCTATACTTCTTGCCTGGCTACTGGCCAATCAGTGTTTTATTTATCAAACAATCATCCACAGCACTTATATGTGGGTCAGAGAACAGAACAGCCACTATATTAAACATAGAGGTTAGCCAGTGGTAGCACACGCCTTTTTAAGGTTTTAGACTTTTAGCAGCCGTTCAGCTGAGATCCATTTGGATGAGGACTCAGAGGCTTCCAGTTTGAGGAAACAGGATCAGCTGAGGAATTGGCGAGGTGAGAACTTTTAAGATTCGTGTTACAGTGTGCTCTCTCCTACCTTCCCAGTTACCCCTTCCTATTTCCTTACCTTTTATAATAACAAAATGGATTCATGTTAGTCAACTAAGAACTGCCCACATTCCAGAACCAGGTGCTCCCCCACCCCACCTTCAAGGACTCAGTGCCAATGAAAAGGCCAATGAAATACATTTTCATTGTCACCACCTTCACAGTATTTTCTCTATGTGCATGCTCCATACCCCCTTAAAGCCTGCCTGCATCATGACCTGGTCTGCCACTGTCTGTTTCCACACCTCCCACCGCTCCTCCACCTCCCCCACTCAGAGGCAGCCAGTTTATGTCCCCCCCCCTTTCCCAATAAATCTCTTGTGTGAAGTCTGTTGCATGGTGTTATTCCCCTGGGGATTAACCACGTCAAGCATCTTTCTATATGCTTTTTGGTTGTTGTGTTTTATTTAGAGAAATGTCTCAAATCAACTGCCCACTGTTAGTTAGGTTATTTGTTCTTTTGCTTTGGAGTTGATGGATTTTTGTTGTTGTTGTTGATATTTTGGTATTAACTCCTATCAAAATGTATACCCGTTAACTATCTTTTCTCATTTCATAGGTTGGCTTTTTCTTCTGATGATTGTTTATAAGCTTGGTGTCATTCTGACATTAGGTTATTCCTTCTCTTAAGGACAATTTCCATTCTCAGGGGACTTTATTCCAAAGTACACTTTGGCTCCAGATGTGTTGCACATGTCTACAATCACAGAGCTCAGTTAGCTAAGGCAGGATTGTGCATTAGGTCCTAACTTGGGCTACATAGCAAACTGAAACTAGCCTGGGATACATAGTTACCCCCCCACACACACACACACCTCAACAAACAAATTTACAAAAAGGTTATTTTAAAAATATATATAAAAATTACATATTCAAAATCCATACTTCTACCTTCAGCTTTTAAAATCAACTTACAAGTTATATCACATTTTTTTCTTTTTTGTTTAAAACATAATTTTTTTTTATTCTTTGGGAATTTCACATCATGCACCCCAATCCCACTCATTTTCCAGTCCTTCCATATCCACCCTCCACCCTTGTAACTACCCCTGGAAAAGAAAAGAAAATAATAAAATTACAAAGAAAAAAAAAAAAAGAAATCTCACCGACCCCTCTGGACAATGACATGCTCCTCTATCAATCGCAACTTTGGAACACTCTGCTCCTAGCTCTGAGCTCTTTGAAGGCCCTTGCATGGTGGTGACAGTGGAGGCCCCAGGTGAGCACAGGAGAGTTGGTCCCACCCTTTTTTTGGGGTAGGGGAAACCCAACAGAGACCCTGGCTGACCAACCCAGCTACCACCCAGGCCCAGATCCAGGGCTTTGAAATGGCACACCCCAACATCTACTCCATCTATGAGCTGCTGGAGCATGTGAAGGGGCCATCCCTGCCAAGCCACAGCCACAGGATCTCAATGATTCTGGGCAACAGCAGGATGTCTGACAGAAGTCTGGGTGAGGGTCCAGTATTGATGGGGGAGCAGAAGCCAGAGGCCCTAAACCAGACCAATGACTCATTACAGTGAACATTTGCAAGTAAAGCTGTTTGAGCAAAAGGATATGTTGTGTGACATACCACAGCTCCCAATGCCACTACGACAAACAAATATGTGATGGAGAAGTGTTGTATTATATGTATATGAGTCATATCTTAAGACAGAATTATTATGTTCAGTCCTGTTTCCAAATTTAGAAACCTTCAAACACTTAATATTTGATAAAATTAAATTTTCTATCTTTGTTTTGTGGTATATTTATTATATCTGAATTAATCATCAAAAATCTTTTATGTATTTAAACAGCTCCTCTACACATAAGATTTAAAAAGTAGGGTGATGGACCAGAGAGACGGCTGGGCCGGCAAAGGTGCTTGTTACCAACAGTGCATGCTCAACAGCCAACATTCAATCTCTAGAACTCTTTGCTCTAATTACTGCCCCAGTTTTTTACACATAGAGATTTAATTTTACCTGATTGCTGCTGTCCTGAGTCACAGTCCTGGTGATTGGCTCTAATTTTTTCCCCACCCAAGGATTAATTCTTTTAATAACCATATTGAAGTTGAGCAAAGTCTCACCTTAGATTCTCAAATCTGGATCAATTACTCAATTATGTGGCATAGATTAGAAGGCTAAACCTCTGACAAATTATTAAATTACAGGTAAAACTACACACATGTATAATTTAAATACAAAATTATCAGGATTCTAGTAGTGATTCTTCTAAATATTTGTGTGCTCACTTTTAAAATCTTCTGAGACAGAAAAAAAATGGTTACTATCTTACTTAAGGGTGATTGCAAATTTAATCTGGGAAACAATTATAAATCTTACTAATTATAGACATTTTTGGCCTGGTCACTGCCTGAGTTGTTGGCAACTCTACTGGGATAAGTAAAATATATTTTATAAGTGCTATTTGAAGTTACTGGGTCATGGGCTTTAAGACTTAAAAGATAGGACTTCAAATTCAGGGATGCAAGTGATGCAGTAATGTCCCCAGAGGCTCACAGAACCTTCTACCTTTTGTGGGGGTTTCCCATCTGACTGAATTTGTATTTCTTTGGCTGCCAAGATGCATAAATGCCTTCCATTTCTGAACTGCATTTCTGAAGTCAGACTACCAAGCATCTAAAGAGGTGGAAAGCATTCCTTCTAGTACCTTGTCTCACTTGGCTCTTGGTTGAATTTATTGGATTAGCTTGAAATGCTGGTCCCATTATGGCATGCCTGTTGGCTGACACAGGTCATCGCTGTACACATGCATACCACTCCCAAGAATTGCACAGCTGGGTGCCTGGACTTTCCACCTTGGGCAGACTGATTTCCCATCCCCTTTAGAGGCCATTTATGTCTTTTGTATGTTTTCCTAAGCTTGCATGATACTTGGAAGGTGCATCACTAATACCATGAAATATTTTCAAGGATGGTGAGCAAGTAACAAAGCAAGGCCCTAGGTCAGCAGCCTTTGACAAACACATCTTTTTGATGTAGGTGGGTTTGCAGAATTTCCAGTTTTCTGATTTTATGTTCATTAACCATCTTTCAGATGTGTGTTCCATGTTACTATGTGTCATACAACTATTATGTAATTTTAGAGTAACCAAAGAGGAAAATGAAGTTGGTCATTGCAAAGTACCTTGGATTTTTAAAAATGAATTTTAAATACTTGAGGTGCATATTGTAAATGGCTATCATTGGTAATTTGAAGAATATTTACTATACAGTTTCTTGTTTTCTCATTTTTCCCCGTTCAGATGAAACTCTAGGATGTCTTTAGCAATCCACCAGTCTCTTGTACTATCCTCTACATGCACCTTCACTGTAACAAAAGAAAAAAATTACTTGTCCTCCAATGCTTGTTTCTTTTTTTTTTTTGGTTGGTTGGTTTTTCGAGACAGAGTTTCTATGTGTAACAGCCCTAGCTGTCCTGGAACTACCTCTGCAGACCAGGCTGGCCTTGAACTCACAGAGATCTGCCTGCCTCTGCCTCCTGAGTGCTGTGATTAAAGGCATGCATCACCACTGTCTGGCTTTTTAAAGATTTATTTATTCTGCATAGTGCTGTGCCTGCACGCTGGAAGGGGGAACTGGATCTCATTATAGATGGTTGTGAGCTACCATGTGGTTGCTGGGAATTGAACTCAGGACCTCTGGAAGAGTAGCCAGTGCTCTTAAACCCTGAGCCATCTCTCCAGCCCCCCAATGTTTGTTTTTTCTCACACTATGAGACTTTTATTTAGGCAAGTCAGGCTATTACTACTTGGAGGAAGTGCCTCTAGTGATAGAGCGTCCATCCTTTGGTTCTTTCTGAGTTCCTCATTTCAGCACTAAAGATAGGAGAGCTGGGAAAATGCTAAGGAGTGATTTATAACCAAGTCTCAATATATTTAGGATGTTTCTAGCCAGATCCTGCTGGCTTCAACCCAGTCATATGGCTCTGGAGTCCAACTGCAAAAGAGGCTGGGAAATACGATCTTCCAATGGGTCTACTGAAGCAATTCATGAAGTAACTTCTCTTATTTCTGAAGGCATATTCCTGGGTTGGAATTTCTATATAGCATGAGGGTAATGGCTTTGCAAACAGGGTATCAGGGGCTGGAGCTTGTATCTTGATCTGTGGGCATGTAGGCAGTCAGTCAGTGGACCTGGCATGGGCTTTTGAAATTCTCAAAGTCCACCCTCAGTGACACACCTCCTAATTCTTCCCCAACAGTTCCACTAACTGGAGACCAAGTATTCAAATATATGAGCCTCTGGAGACCATTCTCATTCAGAACACCACAACACAGTCAGCATGGAGGAAGACAGAAATGGGTATAGACACTATTGGGGGATGCTCTGGCTTGTGCTGCACATAGCAGATTACTGGTGATGAATTGTCTACAAATAGCAGCAGCAGAAACAGTGGAATGCTAAGCTAATACAAGGATTGGAGTACCTTAACCTGATTACAAATGTGTGAATGAAATCTCACTCTTCTCACTAATTCTTTCAAGTAATTCCTTTAATTATTTCAAAGGGAATATTATAAAACTGAATTTGTAAAGCAGCTTTAAACAATGATTACTTTCCCAACTTCATATAAGTTCCAGACAAGATTTTATTCATAAAGTTAGATCTGTATCAATAAGATTTGAAAATTTTCTCCTGATATACAAAGCTGTGCTGCATTTAAGAGTATTATTTACTTATCTGTTAAGATATAATTACATATATCATTATGTAATACATTAGTATTCAACAGACACTTTTAGCTCATTGAAAAGGCAAAGCTTTGGTCACCACTAAAATAATTTGAGTTGATCAGATTTTTTAACAATTGGGAAAAAATTAGGAAGTGAAATTCTTTAATTTTTTATTTTATACCACTGGTATAAAAATTATACCTGCATAGATGTCTGTGGGAGGGTGTAGGATCCCCTGGTACTGGAGTTATGGACAGTTGTGAGCTGCCATGTGGGTACGGGAATTAAACCTGGATCCTCTGGAAGAACAACCATTTCTCTTAACCTCTGAGCCATCTCTCCAGTCCCAGAAGTGCAATTTTCGTTGTATAAATATCCTTTGATCCATATGCAGTTCTTTTTTGGAAAGTAGAGTCCATTACTTTAGAATCATAAGTCAGTTCTCACACAGTTTCCATTACAGCAGCAATTTCCTTGAACTGTCTGTAGAAATTCTGGAGAAAAATGGGAAAAATATTAATTTTGCTTTTAGAGTCTATTACATAGTTCCTTTAATTATATATAACCACCACACATATAGTCTGCATTTTAATGTTACATCCTGAGTAAAGATTACTGAGAGACAAACATTCCTAGACAAGAGGGCACAGAATACACAGCAAATCTGAGACAAACCCCAGGAAGACATATCTGAAAACCAAACAGGAAGTACTGTCTCCTGAAGAAAACATTACACATGTACATAACATGTGTACATGTCTCAGTATCCTCAGAGCACTGCTCAGAAGGCAGACCATGGACAGCAAAATCCGCAGATATTCAAATTCCTTACATGCATACATAGTAGTGGCATGTAGCATCTACATCTATGTGGTTACTATTTGTCACACTGTATGCACAGGCATATACATACAATGGAATCACTCAGCTATAAGAGAAAAAGTCCTGCCATTTCCAACACAGTGACCATGGTAAAGACAAACAAGACACAGCAAGAGAGACACTGTATGATCTCACTTTAAAAAAAAAAAAGATTATTTTATATGTATACAGTGTTCTGCCTGCATGTGTCCCTGAAGGCCAGAAGAGGGCACCAGATCTCATCACGAATGGTTGGGAGTCACCATCCCAACCATCCATGTGGTTGCTGGGAATTGAACTCAGGACTTTGGGAAGAGCAGCCAGTGCTCTTAACTGCTGAGCCATCTCTCCAGCCCCATATGACCTCACTTATATTAAGAATGTTGGACTCACAGATATAGGAACTCAAAGGTGGTTGTCAGGTGCTGGAGGTGGGGGAACAAGTAAAGATGTTGGCTAAAGGGTACTAACTTAGCTATACAAGTTCTGAAGATCTAAGGAATAGAATGCTGAGTATGGGTAATAATAGCATATTGTGAGAGAATATGAGAGTAGATTTTAAATGTTCTCAGTGCACATACATTTATATACACTGTATGGTAATGCACATAATTACCTTCACAGACAGTCACTGCACAACATATATTTTTACCAAATCACACTGTACACTGAAAACATGTAATTTTTATCTATCACTTACACCTCAACAATGCTTCAGGGTAAAGGTGATTTTCTGTTTACTACTTTATTTATTTATTTATTCCCAAAGGAAAAAACCTGTAGAAGTGTACTGCACAGAAGAAGGAAGGGCCTGCACATGTGCATGACTGAAATGCCTGAGGTTCACATTCAGTCAATGACTACACACTACACTTCCTTTCCCCACACCTCATTCCTTCAAACCCTTATCAACATTAATAAGAAGAAATGTGTGTAGTCTTATCTATCAAGAGCCTCTTAAAATACAGTTTATAAAGAGGAACTCAAAGGTCATACAGTGGTATATGAAAGACTTTTCCAGAAGCCCAGGATGGGGAGGGACAGCCTTGGCTTAGAGGTAGAGCATCTACCTCGCATGAAAAGGCGTAGGTGTGATCCCCACCCACATCATACACAAATAAAAAAAGAAGCACAGGGCTGAAGAGATGGCTCCACTCTGCTCTTCCAGAGAACCTGGGTTAGATTGCCAGCATTCACATGGCCATTTACAAGTCTGAAACTCCAGTCCCATGCGATCTGATGCCCTCTTCTGGCCTCAGTGCATATTGCATGCATGTGGTAGGGATACAGATACACAAGCAGACCAAACACCCATGTATCCCAAATGAAACAAAAAATAAAGGAAGCCCAGAACCAATGCATTTTTAATCTTTTTCAAAAAATTAACTTTTTCTTTCCATTTCATTCACTATGATTGCTTTTCTAGAGTGCTCAACTTTGTGATATGCTTCAGCTACTGAAGGGGTCATAGAAAACCAAACCAAAATAGTACATGCTAGTTAAATCAGCTAATGATAGCCATCTCCCATAATATCCATTCGAAAGGAAATTGGACTTAGTGTTCATTCCCTGTGGTGGTTTGAAAGAAAATGGCCCTCAAAGGGGGTGGCACTATTAGGAGGTGTGGCCTTATTGGAGGAAGTGTGTGTCACTGTAGGGGCAGGCTTTGAGGTCTCTTTTTGCTCAAGCTTCCCTCAGTGTGACAGTAACTTCCTGTTGCCTGTAAGCCAAGATGTAGCCACCACCATGTCTGCCTGCATGCTACCATTATGATAATTGACTGAATCTCAAACTGTAAGCAAGCCACCCCAATTAAATGTTTTCTTTTTAAGAGTTGCCATGGTCATGGTGTCTCTTCAGAGTGATGAAAAGCCTAAATAAGACACTTCTGTTTTCTTCCTTGAACAGAAGGTAAGTAAAATAATAATATGAATGCCTAAATTTAAGCATAAACTACTGAGTTCCTTAAATCTCTAGCTGGTAAGACCCATCAATACTTATTAGCTCTGAACTGCACCCTGTAAAGTCTACAAACCCTATGTCAATGTTAGCCCCCAAAAAGATTACCTTTGCTTAAAATTATTATTAAACCTAAAGAAAAATAGTAAGAGGTTAATTACAGAGTAAATATCCCACAGGGAAGATGAAATATTCCTAAATATATTCATCGAAAACTATTATAGTAATTAAAGGGCACTCTACACAAATCTTACTAAAAAAATTTAACGAACTCCCAGAGAAAATAACTTTATAGAATATTTTTTTAATATGATGGAAAGACAATCAATTTGCAAGTAAATAAGTCTACATTTTCCCTTGAGAAAGAATGTATGCAGCTTTTGAAACAGTAGTGATACTAACTTTGGTGAGTTCAACTACCAACCTGAAACTGTGGGATTGTCATTTCGATGGACTTGCTCTTCACTTGGCCAGAATGATCGGCTACTTTCAGCATCACTGCCACATACGGATACTTGAGGGATCTGCAGCTGTCAGAGCTCACAGCCATGCCCAGTTTCCACTGAAAATCTATAAGCTTTAACACAACAGCACAAATATCCCGTGAGAAACCAATGCCTTGAACAAATACCCAATTTCTGTCTTCAGTCTTCTATTTGTTTCAATATCGGTGATAGTACAAGGAAAAGGCTTCATTCTGTTGGTAGGCAAAAACTGGCCAAATGGCAATGAAGAAAACAAAGGGGATAAGCAGAATCAGAAAACAAGCAGAGAAAAGCAAAATGTCAAACAAAGGAACCTAAACATCCACCAGATGTACAACAGAAGATGTGGAAAGTGGCTTTTTGTAACAGGCTTAATTTTTTCTCTACTTCCGGGCACCCTAAATGCTTTGGAGCATTTTTAACCTTTCTTGCTGCTCCATACCCAAGTCCTAAAACAGAAGATGGGTGACATGGTCCTCACCGTTGCCTGAGGCATGTGGAAACCATCACAGTTGTTACTGTCCGGCTCAAACCTACTATTAGATGAGTGGTGATGATGAGCCTTTGGATTTCATCAGTCCTCGTGACAGACACATGACAGGTGACATGCCGGGCAGGCTACGTACATGTTCAGTGCCTCACTGAATCACCACAGTTTTATAAGTTATTATTTCCCTTTTGCATATGACAAAACCCAGTTTCAGAGCGCTTAGATAATGGACTCAAGGTCACACATTTCAGAACCCAGAACAGAAACCGATGTCTGTCTGACTGTATAAGAAGAAAAGCTTAATGACTACTGTGTTTTTAATGGTTCCTGCTGCTGCTTCTTCGGGGCTGCCAGGGCATCAAACAGAACTGGATAAATGCAGCTCTTGATATTGGCACTAAGAATTTGTCTGTCTTACTTCCAAACATGAGAGGGTGGCTGGCAATCAAAATATACTTGCTGACTAGCTGATTTTCTTTTGCAGTGAAATTAATGTATGCCTAGTGATATACTTCTCTGACAGACACAAGAAGAGCTGCTGACTTTTCAGTTTCTAATTACTTAGGACCAAGTAATAACTTCTTAGGTCCCTACATGCTAGACCCATTGTTTTTCACAATTAAAAAAATTTTTTTTATTTGTATTTACTTGGGCATGTGGAGGCCAAAGGACAACTTGAAATAAGTTTGTCTTCTGCTTCACCATGTGTTCCAGGGATTTTATTCAACTCATTAAGCTTGGCAGCAAGCACCTTCACCCAGTGATCCACCTTGATGGTCCTGTAATTTTCCTCATAAAGGTGTAAAACAGCTCATTAGAGGTGTTTTTCATTGTTTGTTTTTCCTGTTGTTATTTGTTTTCTTTTGGGGGGTGGTAGAGACAAGATTTTTCTGCAAAGCCCAGACTGACTTCACAATTGTGGTGACCTTCCTGCTTCAGTCACCCAGGTGCTGGAATTACAGGCATACAAACCTAGCTTGGTAGGTTTATTTGCAACATACTGTATAATTTTTTTTCAAGTTGTGAAACTTGTTTAAAACTATATTTTTCAGCTCTGTGTCTGAACATGCAAAAACAAAAACAAAAACAAAAACACCCAAAACTGAATCATATTCCCAAGTTCATTATTAATTCTAATAATCTTGTAAATTATTTTGGCTTTTTTAATATATATAATCATATGACCAGTCACTGGTGAATCACTGTGTGGAAGGGATTACACTGATCACTCAGATACGACCATGTCCTAATCACAGGGGCTTTCTCCATGTGAGAAAGCAGACATTAAAGATGTAACAAAATTAAGATCTTGGGCTGCATTGTCCTGGATGTGATCCCAATGTAATCATTCTTTGTAGAAGGAAGGCAAGAGGGTCTGAGTCAGAAGAAGCAGGGGTTGGGATCATGCACAGGGCACAAACCAAGAAAGGAGGCAGCTAAGAACAGGAAAAGACAAACAGGAGACCCTCCCCTCCAGCCACACCCAAACCCTCCTTCACCTTGGTAAGATTGGGTTTATCCTTCTGACCTCCAGAAGTGGAAGGGATAGATTTGTATTGCTTTACGGCAGAAAATTTCCATAAAATAAATAAAAAAAGAACTATAGCCCAGTACAGTTCAGTCTCAGGACATCTTTAACAAAACACATAATGTAAAGAGAATGAACAAAATAATTCATGAGACTGAGTAATAATAATAATAATAATACCGACTCAATTAACTGGTTGAAGAGAAGGCTCGGATGTTAAAAGCATTTGCTGCTCTTGCACAGGACCCAGGCTCGGTTTCCAGCACCCACACAGCAGCTCACAACCATCTGTAATTCCAATTCCAGAGACTCCAAGGCCTCTTCTGGCCTCCAGGGACCCATGTGTTATATAGACATATAAAATAAAAAGAAATCTTAAAACAAACAAACAAACAAAAAAAAAAAAACGACTAAGGGCAACTAACTCCTATAATGTTATGCAAAGATAAGTAGGTTTCTCGGTATCACAGAGTTTAGTCCTCTCCCAAGAGTCTTCTAGTCCTCCCAAGAGTCTTCAAAAGCAACAGCAAGATAAGCCAGTGAGTGCCAGGCATGTAAATCCAGCTACTTGAGGGATGCTGGAGCTAGACAATCACAAGTTTGAAGCCAGTGTGGACTACAAGCTGAGTTTAAAGTGAGCCTCAACAGTTTAGGGAGAGCCTAACTCAACTTAAAAAGAAAAAAAAAATTATTTGGAGACAAGTAACAGTCAATAGACACTTTTCTTGGCCCCTTCAGTTTTACAATGTTTTCACTTCACCACTTTCTTACATTTTATGTGAACTTCGGAAACTCCTGATCTAAAACTCCAGTTTTCTGACTTTCTTGGAGAAATGTTATTATTAATTTAGAAAGCCAAATTTTTCTTCCTAATATAAAATATAAAAGGTTAGAAAAATTATCGTTCATCTTCAAAATAACTTCCTTAAAGAAATGGCTGGGCAAGGCTGGAAAGATGGCTTAGCGATTAAAAGCACTGATTACTCTTCCAGAGGACCCGGGTTCAATTCCCAGCATCCACATGGCAGCTCACAACTGTCTGTAACTCCAAGATCTGACACCCTCACATGGAGATACATGCACACAAAACACCAATGCACATAAAATAAAAATATTTTTTTAAAAAAATAGGCTGGAGAGATGGCTCAGTGGTTAACAGCACTGGCTGCTCTTCCAGAGGACCCGGGTTCAATTCCCAGCAACCACATGGCAGCTCACAACTGTCTGTAACTCCAGTTTCAGAGGACCTGACATCCTCACACAGACACACATGCAGACAAAACACCAATATTAAAATAAGAAAGAAAGAAAGAAATGGCTGGGCTTGGTGGCACACGCCTTTAATCCTAGTACTTCTGAGGCAGAGGCAGGTGGATCTCTGAGAGGCCAAGGCCAATCTGGTCTTCCTAGAAAAGTTCCTGGCTAGCCACGGCTACTCAGCGAGACCCTGTCTCAACAGAAGCAAAATAAACAAAAAGTTAAAAGAAGAGAAGAAGAGGAAGGGAGCTATCTTTGCAAACATTAGTAGTTGCTCACGTTAACCCTCACGTTTTAAAACACCATAATCCTACCTTGGCATAAAGGCTGACTAATTAAGACGGAACAAGGCTTGGTCTGCATTCTGTGGGCAGAGCACCCTAAATCACACTGGCAGCGGCTATCCCCTCAGGTCCAAGGGGAAAATGCAACCCTGGGGAAGGACCCACGAAGAGGGGCGGGGACGGCATGGCCGCAGCTGCGACAGCGTGGGGCGGTCACTCACCTGGCAGGTGACCTGGAACAGAAGCAGAAACACAAGTTAGAGAAAAGCCTTCCGGGCGCCACCGTCCGCCCCAGCACCTTCCCCTCCCAGGCCGCATTTACCTCTGATTTGGCGTCCAGCACCGGTTCCCTGATCGTAGACTCCTCCATAGCCAGAGCGGAACCCGCAGACGCTGGCCAGCACTTCCGCTTCCGGCCCACGGCCCAGCCCACTCACGGAGGGGGGTAGAGAGAGGAAGATAACTTTTCATACAATTCCGGATTTGTCTCAATTAAGCATCAGTTTTATAATACACTGGAGAGAGGGAAAGCTCGGCGGAGAGAAAGGCCAAGGACGCGGAGGAAACCTAGTGGAGGACTAATGACCTTCAGGAAGTCACCTCCCCCACTGCAGGGGAAGGAGTGGGCTCGTCCCCGCGCAAGCGCAAAGTGCCTGGGTCCCGGAGGGAGCGAGCCCAACCGAATCGGCTTGCAGAGGTGCGGCCACACACCCCGGCCTGGATCGTGTTGTGTGTGTAACCTTAACTGCAATTGTCTGGCGATTTCTCATCCCTAGGACTGAGTTCGCTGGCCCAACCTGACCTTAGGAGGGTGGAGCGGAATGCCTTAAAAAAAAACAAAAAAAAACACTGCTGTCTTCATTACTCCAAATTTCAACCCGATTTCAGCAGCTCCTTCTCATCCCATCTTCTCTCATGTTTACTCCAGATGCATTCTGCATAGAATGTCCATGCCGATTTTTTATTCCCCTGACAATGGAATGGTCATTGCTTTACTTTACACATTTGCTTTAACGCTGACTACATACATAATGGATGTATTTCATCTTTAAATACTTGAACACTTACCTCCTAAGAACACTCTAACCACAAGTCAGGAAACTTAATACTGATGGAAACAATATCTGTTTGTTGACAAGTAGATCAAATATGCCCTTTCCTAGCTGTTTATTTTTTTGAAATATGGACTCCTTCTGTAGTTCATTCATTATGCGGCCCATGCTGGCTTCTATGGCTCAGCAGTCCTGCCTCAACCACCAGAATTCTGGGATGACAGATACCATACCAATCTTGTTCCAACAATATTCTGACATTGATTACCTACCCCACCCATAACCAGAATACAACCAAGCACTCCAATTCTCTTTAGTCCCTAATCTAAAGCTGCACAGGTAAGGCTCCCTCAGGGGCCTGGGGCAGAATCTGCTTCTAAACTCATTCAAGTTGTTGGTAGACTAACTCCCCTACGCTTTAAGGTATGACTGAAATTACATCTTCAGAGTAGTGCCTGGATTACAGCTTTGCTGAATAGAGACAAGAATCTTTGCATGATGAACATCTTTAGAGTTCTACCTATCACAAAACAGCTCTCACAGGATTGTTGAAAGGTGCTAGTTAACATAAATACAACAAACATGTAGAGCTGTGCCCTGCATGCTGTCATTGAAATCTAAGTACAAAAAAAGTATTATTGGGTCTACTTAAATGTACTAATTGGCTTGGGAAGAGAGTCCCTGGGTGAACGAAAGCACCGCCCACCCCACAAGGAAATAGGATAAAAAGAGAGAACACTATTGTACATCCTGTTGACCAATACATTTGTTCTAATTATCTCACTACATAACCCTGGCTTGCCTGGGAATCTGTAGACCAAGCTGGTCTTTAACTCACAGAGATCTGCCTGCCTCTGCTTCTGCCTCTTGGGTGCTGGAGGTGTCAGTGTGTACACACTGCTAATTTTCTTTTTCTCTTCAGCTCCTAGCTGCTAGGAATGGAGAGAACATAGATACACATATACCCCAACCTGAATTGTACAAAAATATTCCCAAAAGGAGAAAACACAAACATATTAAAGTTAACTTTTGTTAGTTTGCTGTATTTCTCATGAATTCTCTTAATTTGATCTTAATTTTTTGAGGCAGGGCCTCGCTTTGTAAGCCTGTCCTAAAGCTCACTTTGTAGACCAGGTTGCCTCATACACCACCACACATGGCCTATGAATTTTTGATGATTATCATTCTGTGAATGAAACTTTTTTTTTAATCTCCATGTATTTTTTTTAAGATGTATTTATTTATTTATTTATTATGTATACAGTGTTCTGTCTGCATGTATGACCTCATTAAGGATGGTTGGGAGCCACCATGTGGTTGCTGGGAACTGAACTCAGGACCTCTGGGGTTCCTGAACTCAGGACCTCAGCGCTCCTAAACCCTGAGCCATCTCTTCAGCACAAAGGAAACTTTTGAAAAGAAGTTGTGTCTTCAGAAAGTGACTGGCTGATTAGGATTTCAGTACTGTGGAGAAATGGGAGTGTTGCAGGTCCAGAGGCTAATTACCTTATCTTGGACTAGTTCTAGCCTCACCAAACAGCCATTTCTTGCCCACTTCTGAGTCAGAACTGAAAACTTGTGACTTAATAGATAGAAACCTTTTGGAATCTATTAACTTAGCAGACTACTAGATTCCACTAATCCAAAAGGTAAGAATGTTCTCAGATAGTATCTTAGGCCTTTAGAAAAGCTTCTCCCATCTCTATGTACCTGCCTCTCTGATGTGCCCGTGAATGTATTTACTTTTTTATTTTTATTTTTATTTATTTATTTATTTTGGTTTTTCAAGACAGGGTTTCTCCCTGGCTGTCCTGGAACTCGCTTTGGAGACCAGGCTGGCTTCAAACTCACAGAGACCTTCTGCCTCTGCCTCTCGAGTGTGGAGAATAATGAAATGAACCACCACTGCCCAGTTCATCAATGTATTTTAAACTTGCTTTGATTTATGTCTTTGTTTTGTAACACTGTAAAAACATCATGAAATTGTTTTCATGTTGGAACACGGAATTTGGGTTAAGCTAAGTCTGTGTTCCCGGATACGGTGACTCAAAACGGCTCCAGAATAAACTATCTCTTATTCCCTTTAAAATGAGACCTGTGTGTTTTTGTGTCGACATTAAGAAATACTCTGTCGATCCAGAAATACTGTTACATCACAGACCCTCCTCTACCTGGCTCTCTCACAATTTTGGAAAACCAGGCCACATGACCCTACAGGCTCTCTGCTGGCACATAGACCTGATTAAAAAAAAAAAAATTATCCTGTTTGGCCTTGAAGTTCTCTTCCTCCCCTTGCAGCTGTGTGCAAGTTTAATTCAACCTTGAATTACAAGTTGACTTTATCTGTTGCCTTTCTGCCTTGTGACTCCTGGTACAAAGGCTAGGCCAGGCTTGGTCACACGGTTTGCAGTTATACTTCCTCTGCCCCCTCCCTACCACACCCTGTTCCTGAAAACCTGTAAGACTGAGACATTCTCTTTGTCCTACTGGAAATGAAGGCTCTTCCTTCAAGACCCCATGATGCCTATGGTATGACGACATGCATGTCAATGCTTTCCTACTTCAGGACCTCATCGTGGCTGGCTGTGATGAACCTGTAACTCTCCTGACACAGTCCTTCTGAAGGTCTCCTTTCTACAAATCCACTTTCTTTTGTAAGTTATAATAAACGCATGGCAAATTGCTATTTTTCAGGCCTACATCTCGAAGATAATAGAATTTACATAAGACTCCCACTTATAAAATACAGATTTGGGGCCTGTGACATGACTCAGTTGGTAAAAGAGCGTGCCACTGAGCCTGTCAACTTGACTTGGATCTTCGGCACCCACGTAGAGGAAGAAGAGAACCGACTGTCACAAGTTGTCCTCCGACCTCTACAAGCACACCCTCATGGCACTAGTTCACACACACACACACACACACACACACACACACACACACACACAAACACACACACACAATCATAAATTTAAAATGTACAAATACGAGATTTTTATGAAGTTATGAGAATTGTCAAAATTATATACACTTTGTTATAACTTTTAAAAACGTATTTTAACCCAACAACATCTAAGTAGGAGATATAAGTTAGAAACTACTTTGGGAGCATGTTTAACAAACCTCCTCAGTCTCAAATAGAAGGAAGTCTACAGTGCTATCTATCATGAACTGTTGATGTCATGAAGGTTACAATAGAGTGGAGAAAAAAGATATTTCTTTCTATTTAAGCATTTATTTTTAGTTCTTTTTAAATGTCCAGTGATACAAATCTGAATTAAATTAGCCTAAGCAAAATAGCAGAAACTATTATCTCCCTGCAGTGGCCTCTGAAGCGCAGGGTGGAAAACACTGAAGTGCCAGAGAACTGTGAGACGTGCATAGCAAGAGAGCCCAGTCTCTTGGTTCTCCATGTTAGGAATTGTATGCGGTGGGACCCTCAGATGCAGGGGCGGGCTGGAGGGCACCCAGTCCACGTGGGCGTGGTGGTGGGGCGGCAGGTGGAGATACACAACCCAGACACTGCATCTGAGTGGAAATGGTTTTTATTATAATAGAGAGATGAAGAGCCAGAGAGACAGAAAGAGGGAGACACACAGAGAGAGGTAGGGGGAGAGAGGGAAAGAGAGAGGGATGGGGGGCGAGGGGTTCAAGAGGTGCTCACCTCAAGGGAGGAGAGCTGAAGGGAGAAAGAGGGGAAGGGGTGGAGTTTTCCTTTAAAAATGGGCTTCTGCATCAGGGTATAGAGTGGCGGCACCAAGGGGCGGGATCAGAATATTCATACTCGACCCTGGTTTGGCCTCCTCATTCCTTTGCTCCATTTCCTTTGTCTTTCCCACTTGTTCCTGGGGGAGGAGGAGGAGGCACATATAGACATGGATGACACTGCCTTCAGAGTCACAGCCATTTGGTGAATATTCCAAGGGGAAAGAGGAAGCTGGTCTTGAATCCCAATTCTGCAAGAAAGACTGATTAACCTACTGAATCACATACCCACTCCTTGGACCCATACTAGGTGAAGATGCCTTACTTTTTGTCTGCTCTGCAGGCCCCGTTGTGTCTATAAAGGGTATAGTCATGTGTTCGGTAAAGTCACTAGTGTACCAGAGATGAAAGATATCACCAGCAGGAGAGATAAAGGACAATTCAACCCAACTCAGATTAAAAGATGCTAGGGAGGGCTGGAGAGATGGCTCAGTGGTTAAGAGCACCGACTGCTCTTCCAGAGGTCCTGAGTTCAATTCCCAGCAACCACATGGTGGCTCACAACCACTTGTAATGAGATCTGGTGCCCTCTTCCGACCTGCAGGGACACATGCAGACAGAACACTGTATACATAATAAATAAATAAATCTAAAAAAAAAAAGATGCTAAGGAAACAAACAAGAAAACTAGAGGTCCACTAAACATATTTATTGTATCATACTGTACTATCCTGCATTACCACCTGTATGCAGTCAAAATCCTCCAAGATGTCTATTTCCTAATGGACAGT